ACCACCCCAAAAACTCCCCAAAAACCATCTCAAAAATACCCCAAAACACCCCAGAAAAAGCCCTTTTTATTCCTTTTATTCCCCTTTTATTCCCTTCATTCCCTTTATTCCCTTTATTCCGTTTTTTTCCCTTTATTCCTTTTATTCCCTTTATTCTTTTTATTCCTTTTATTTCCTTTATTTCTTTTACTCGTTTTATTCCTTTTATTCTCTTTATTCCCTTATATTCCCCTTATTCCCTTTATTTTTTTCGTTCCTTTTTTATTCCCTTTTTATCCCCTTTTTATCCCCTTTATCCCCTTTCCATCCCCTCATTCCTTTTCTCTCTTTATCCTCCCTCATTCCCATTTTTCCCGCCTCACTTTTCCCACATTTTCCCGGTTTTTATTCCCAGAATTCCTCCTCCCACCAGTTTGAGGAGCAGCCCATCCAGCTGCTCTTCCCGGAGCTCCAGGACATTCCCAGCAAGTAAGTTCCCACTTTTATCCCTGTTTTCCCCCAGAATTCCCTCTCCCTTCCCCAGAATTCCCATTTTTTTCCCGTTTTTCCATGTTTTTCCCAGCGTTCTGTGGTTGGATGTTCAGCCCCTTCCCGGCTCCCGGCACCGTTTGTCGGCCCTGGGCTGCCAGAGCGGCTTCATCCGAGTCTCCCGGGTGGATCAGGACTCCAGAGGTGCATTCCCAACATTCCCAACGGGAATTCCCAACTGGAATTACCCCCCCCAGCCTCCCTTTATCCCACTTTATCCCAGTTAATCCCAGTTTATCCCAGTTTATCCCAGTTAATCGCACTGGAATGAATCCAGAGTTGCTTCCGGGCTCATCCCAGATCCATCTTCTGTCCCTGAATCCACGTTTTCCCTGGAAAACCCCTACAATTCCCACCTGCAATTTATTTCAAGTCCCAGTTTATCCTGGTTTATCCCAGTTTATCCCAGTTAATCGCACTGGAATGAATCCAGAGTTGCTTCCAGGCTCATCCCAGATCCATCTTCTATTCCTGAATCCCTGAATCTCTGGAAACGTTTTCCCTGGAAAACCCCACAATTCCCACCTGGAATTACCCCCCCCGGCCTTCCCCTATCCCACTTTATCCCAGTTTATCCCAATTTATCCCACTGGGATGGATCCAGAGGTGACTCCACCCTCTGGGCTTATCCCAGCTCCTTCCCAGATCCAGGCCTGAATCCAGGTTTTCCCTGGAAAAGCCCCACAATTCCCACCTGGAATTACCCCCCCCCGGGCCTCCCTTTATCCCACTTTATCCCACTTTATCCCAGTTTAATCCACTGGGCTGGAGCTGGGATGGATCCAGAGGTGACTCCGGGCTCATCCCAGCTCCACCCTCTGGCCCTGAATCCATGTTTTCCCTGGAAAAACCCCACAATTCCCACCTGGAATTTCCTTTAAGTCCCACTTTATCCCAGTTTATCCCAGCTTATCCCACTTTATCCCGCTTTATCCCGCTGGGATGGATCCAGAGGTGACTCCGGGCTCATCCCAGATCCACCCTCTGGCCCTGAATCCACATTTTCCCTGGAAAAACCCCACAATTCCCACCTGGAATTACCCCCCTGGCCTCCCTTTATTCCACTTTATCCCAGTTTCTCCCAGTTTCTCCCAGTTTTTCCCAGTTTCTCCCGCTGGGATGGATCCCAGGGGGGGTCTGGGTTGGATCCCTGATCCCAACGATCCCGTTTTTCCCTGGAAACCCTTTGGAATTCCAGAAGTTCTGCAGAGCTGGAGCCTCCAGCAGGACGGGCCCGTCTCCTCCGTGCTGCTCTTCCCGCTGCCTCCAGAGCCACACGGTGAGGAAAAACTGGGAATTCCATGGGAAAAACCCGGAATTCCCATGAAAAACCCAGAATTTCCCAGAAAAACCCAGAATTTTCCAAGAAAACTCTGGAATTCCCCAAGAAAACCCCAGAATTTCCCAGGAAAACCCCAAAATTCCCGGGGAAAATCCCAGAATTTCCTGGGAAAAACCCAGAATTCCCAAGAAAAACTCAGAATTTCTCAGGAAAACCCCCAAAATTCCCCAAGAAAACCCCAAAATTTCCCAGGAAAAACCCAAAATTCCCGGGGAAAATCCCAGAATTTCCCGGGAAAAACCCAGAATTCCCAAGAAAACCTTGGAATTCTCCAGGAAAAACCCAGGAATTTCCCAGGAAAAACCCTGAAATTCCCAGGGAAAACCCAGAATTCCCCAAGAAAACCCCAAAATTTCCCAGGAAAAAACCCAGAATTCCCAGGAAAAACCCCGAATTCCCAGGAAAAAACCCTGGAATTCCCGGGAAAAACCCAGAATACCCCAGGAAAACCCCAGAATTCCCAGAAATTCCAAGGAAAATCCCTTTTCCAGGTGCCCCTGAGGACTCCTGGAGCGTCCTGGTGACCAGTGCCCTGGAAGCCGCCGTCGTCTACAGGTGAATCCCTGGAATATCCTGAGAATTCCCGCCCACATTCCAGGAATTCCCACCCACATCCTGGGATCTCCAATTTTCCCTCCATTTTCCCCAATTTTCCCCCAATTTTTCTCATTTTTTCCTCAATTTTCCCTCCATTTTCCCCAATTTTTCTTGAATTTCCCCAATTTTTTCCTCCATTTTCTCCAATTTTCTCTCCATTTCCCCCCAATCCCAGATTTCCCCCCCCCTCCCCCGATTTCCGCTCAATTCCCAGATTCCCCCCAATCCCAGGGGGTTTCTGCTCCCTCCCTGACCCCCATTCCCATGGAATTCCAGGAATATCCCGGATCAGGGTCTGGGTTCCCCCCTCCCTGACCCCCCCATTCCCATTCCCATGGAATTCCAGGAATGTCCCAGCTCGTGGCCTGGGATCCCCTCCGGTTCTCCCCCCCAATCCCAGAATTCCCCCAATTCCCAAGTTTCCCCTCCAATTCCCAGGTTTTCCCTCCAGTCCCAGATTTTCCCCCATCCCCAGATTTCCCCCAATTCCCAAATTACCCCAATCCCAGATTTCCCCCCCAGTTCCCGGGTTTTCCCCCAATTCCAGATTTCCCCCAATTCCCAG